AAAAAAATCCTTGAGAAAGCATCATCAAACTGTTCTGATCCGAAGGCGCTCTGCTCTCAAGGACTGGTCCCAGATCACATCAGCTCCCAGTTTAACATCAGGTTTCCAGTAAAGGGTTTCAGGGTGATAAAGCACCAGTTTCGATAGTGCCTTTCAAGGCACATTCTGTGCTCTAAGAAGTTCTGATAACGCCCTGCAGCCCAACCTCCTTCTGACATTCTTTGTCATCGCCGCTATTTCACGGCAGCTTTGGGCAAACCATCGCTTCAGAGATGAGGGCGATAATGGTTTTTCTCTGATCCSCGGAGCCGTGAGTGAGAGAAACGGCTGGGAATTTGAATCAGGGAAGAATTGAACCTTAATAAAAACATCCAACAACAATACCTGGGCTCAAAACCTTTCCTGATCTTCTTCAGGGGAAAGATCTGCAAAAACCAGCTCAGCCACGTGAAACAAAAATGATCGTGGGATGTTAAACCTGCSCTGACAATGCTGCAGCTCACCAAAACCCTGCCAAAGGATTGTAAATCTGTTTCCAGCGGCACAAGGAGATGTTTTCGCTGCGTTTTCGGGCATTTTTGGTAAYTTCTTTGCCACTTTCAGCGGTGACATTTGAGAGCCAGCCCTGCCTTCAGCTCAGCTGGGTGTCAATGGGAAGGTGAATTGGTGCCCAGCACCTTGAAAATCAAAATTTAGCTGCCAGAAATCGCTGTCCCTCCAATTCTCGTTTGAACGGGCGCTCCTGATCCTCCTGAACGTGGCACTCAAGTGCCACCCCTGATGTCACCCGTGCCATGAGCTGGGCACAGAAGTGATGGCATCGCCCTCCGCCAGCCCCAAAAACCAGACTGCTCTTCTTTCCATTAATTAGCGCAGCTCATTGAGGGCAGAAAGCCCGGCCGGGGCCAGCACCAGCCCTGCCTTCACCCACACCATCTCTGCGGCGCTGCTGACAGAGGTAAAAAAAAAAAAAAAAAAAAAATTGTTTTTCTCGGTAAACTCGACAAATGAGTCAGAAAACACTGAGTGAGGAGCTGCTGCCGGCGAGGCACAGCGCGTACCCTCTCCTCAGTCACGTTTCGAGCCGCAACCACTTGAACAATTCTGAAAATCAAAAAATCAAACGCGGGCTGCTGCCTCGCAGGGAGCAGCGGGCTGAGCGCAGCTCCGCTCAGGGAAATGGGATTTTCGTTCGGCCAMGCTCGAGAATCATCCAGAGCGAACTCTGAGCTGCTTTCCAGGAGGATCACAGWGCCCGGGACTCTCAGCAGCTTTGGGATGGGCAGAGCAGCTCCTTTCCCAGCTCAGAGGGGGTTTTGGAGAGACTGGGACAGTGTCCTTCAYCCTAAAATAATGTCCCTCATCCCCAATGTCCCTCATCCCAAAATAATGTCTCTCATCCCAAAATAATGTCCCTCATCTCTAGACAATGTTCCTCACCCCCAGACAACGTTCCTCATCTCAAAACAATGTTCCTCATCCTAAAACAATGTCCCTCATCCCAAAATAATGTCCTTCATCTCCAATGTCACTCATCCCCAGACAATGTCCCTCATCCCCCAAAAATATCCTTCATCCCCGATGTCCCTCACCCCAAGACAATGTCCCTCACCCCAAAATAATGTCCCTCACCTCAAGAGAATGTCCCTCACCCCAAAACAATGTCCAGATCGTCCTGATTTAGGGCATCACCCATTGCTGTCGCTCTCCCTGCCATTGCCTGGCACCCTCAGCCCAGCCCAGGCTGTCCCCAGGGSCAGCAGGAAGGGGACAGCAGTGTCACATCCCCCAGGGATCATCACCCCACGGCTCTGTGTCACCCTGGGCTCCCCCTGTCCTGTCTGGATGTCCTTGGCCAGGTCAGGGACACGTCCCTGCAATGCCACCGCCAGATGTGACACTCGCCCCGTGACTCGCTGCTGCTGTGCTGAGACAGGATTGCACCCGAGAGGGGAAARAAATTGCAAAAAAAAAAAAAAAATTAAAAGCGGTTTTTGTTTTTTTTTCACCTCCACCTCTAAGATTCACCTTTGAGGAAGAGGAAAAGCGTGGTGGAGGATCTCGTGCAGAGACAGCTGTTCTGCAGAAAATGTGTTTAGTCACTGGGGTGGGGGGCGTGGAAGGGTAGATCATTGTTTCCCCTGCTCTGGAAAAAAAGTGAACTCATGTTTTGGTTATCACAAATGGCATCTTCCCCCAAGGGAAACGCAGATTTTGAGATTTTTTTCGGGTTAAATAATACAGCTTGAGAAGCACTTTTTTTCAGCTMTCCAGCACTTGGGTTTCACTGGCACCCAGCACCCATGGCCAGATCCRCACCAACCCCCAGATGTGTGAATATTTCAGATTCCAACCTGCAGTGAGATCAAACAGGGGCTTTGTGAATG